CCCCCGCCGCCCCCCCCCGCCGCCCCCGCGCCGCCCCGGTGCCGCCCCCGCGCCGCCCGCCGCCCCCCCCGCGCCCCCCGCGCCGCCCCCGCGCTGGTGGCCTTGCTTTGTGCGCTGCGCCAGCAGCCGTGCGCTGGGGCCTCGGGGTGCCGGTGGCCATTCTCCAGGGGTCGTAACCCCAGGCACCTTGTCAGGTGCCACCCTGCCGTCTCTGTGTTGTCTTTTGTGGCGTTTAAGTGTTTTTTTAAATTTATTTTAATGAGTTTTGAGAGATCTTTGTGCAAAGAATATAAATTCTTTATCACATAGACGTCTGTGGCTTCGTGTATTCTTAATGTTAGCGTTGAGAGAGAGGTTTTAAACTTTGATGTAGTTTTTTATTTTTCATCTTTTTGTTTTTTCCTTTCGTGGATTGTGCTTGTGGTGTGTGAGCCTAACTCGGGGTCACAGTCTTTCCTGCGTTTTCTTCCATAGATTTTATAATCTTGGGCTTTACGTTAAGGTCCACGATTCATTTTGGGTTAATGTTTGTATGCGCTTGTGTTTGGATTCTAGTGTCACTGTATTGCTTTTAGTTAACTCTCCGAAACTCCTGAAACTTTTCAAATGAAGCATAAACCCAATGGGAAAGCTAAAACTCCTTAATGGTGAATTTTAAATTTCCAGATGATTTTGATACAAATTTTTGCCACGGATATGCTCTTAGTTTTTCATAGTTTATTTAATGCTGTAAAATTATATTCACCTTCCTCTTTTACCAATCGGTATTCAAAGTGATAATTGTTAAAATAAAAACCAGCATTCTGCTTAAATTATAATTTGAAATAAAAAAGTAAACCTGCCTCTATTGAGAAGACAGAATACGAAGCTAGTTTAATATTTCACAGACTTTGTTAGTAGCCATAAGAGGTGCTTTCTTCTCCCTCAGGACCTCCATTCCCGTGTGCGCCCCTCCAGCGCCAGCCCCGTAGAGCTCACCCCCTCTTCAGGGTGCACGCGGGGAAGCTCTCCCCGGGGCCCCGCTGCCTCATCCGCCTCCCTCCACGAACGGGAGATCCCTGGGGGCGAGGTGCTGGTCACTGATGTGTGCCTGGGTTATAGTAGGTGCTCAGTTAATGTTGAAGGAACGAATGGATTAATCTATGAAATAGGTTTGCCCCAGTATTAGTTTTAAGGCTCAGAGCTTCTAATAGGAACATATTAACAAAAGAAAATGTCTGACAAATTATTTAAGATGTTTTAGTAAATATTTACTATAGAAACCTTAATTTTTATTTTTACGAGTTAAAAATTATTTTCTACAGGGTTCGGTTTGGCAAAGACTTGGTGCAGATGTGACAGCAGTCGAGTTTTTAGGTCATGTTGGTGGAGTTGGAATCGATATGGAGATATCTAAAAACTTTCAACGCATCCTTCAAAAACAAGGATTTAAATTTAAATTGAATACAAAAGTTACTGGTGCTACCAAGAAGTCAGATGGAAAAATTGATGTTTCGTAAGTATGCTGGCTGCTTTTGGCTTTGATGTGATAACCCCATCTGTGTGCTTAAGAAAAATACTCTTTTTCAGCATCAGATTCGGTTACAACTTAGGGCCGTCTTATTACTTCGTGTAACTCCGTATTGAAGTTCATGATTAGGTTGATCCTAGAAGAATTAACCTGGTGTTCTCTCTGCAGTGTGCTTTCTCAGTAGACATTGAGAAACATTTAAGCTCTCGATGTTACAGTGAAACTTGTGTTTTTAGATATGTGCAGAAATCCATCATATTAGATTGCTTGCTATCTATTAGACCGACCCAGGGGATGTGTGCGTTTCTTCATTGCCTGACTCCGGTGTGTGAGAACTGTTGGCAACCCTTGAGAAATGTCTGGCCTTAAATTTCTGTCAGGTTTTCACGTTGATGTGTGTTTAATAGCCCTACGCTGTTCACTGTCCAGTATTGAAGGTGCCTCTGGTGGTAAAGCTGAAGTCATCACGTGCGACGTGCTCTTGGTTTGCATTGGCCGACGACCCTTTACTCAGAATCTGGGACTGGAAGAGCTTGGAATTGAACTAGATCCTAGAGGTAGAATTCCAGTCAATACCAGATTCCAAACTAAAATTCCAAAGTAAGTTGGATACTTATTTGCGTTTTCAAGAATTTTTAAATTCAAACACTATTTTGAAAATACAATCTTTGCAAGGCCTAAAACATGCCATTGGCTTTGGGGCGGAATGGTAAACTTCTACGTGGGAACAGAAGTAATGGGTTTTGTCATTACCCAGAGATTAGAGCCTGAGCTCACGGATGCATGAGGAGCTGTATTTTATGTGTGTGTTGGTTACTTACTGACGAGAAGCGCTCGGTGGCCGCGGCGCACGCAGCCGCCCGCCACGCCCCCCCTTCTGTGCCGCAGTGTCTATGCCATTGGCGACGTGGTCGCCGGTCCGATGCTGGCCCACAAAGCAGAGGACGAAGGCATTGTCTGCGTCGAAGGGATGGCGGGCGGCGCTGTGCACATCGACTACAACTGCGTCCCCTCGGTGATCTACACGCACCCTGAAGTTGCTTGGGTTGGCAAATCAGAAGAGCAGTTGAAGGAAGAGGTAATTCTTTTTTTTTTTTTTTTTAAGTTTATTTGTTCTGAGAGAGAGTGCAAAGCGAGTGAGAGGGGGTGGAGAGAGAATCCCAAGCGGGCTCCGCACTGTCCGGGAGAAGCCCGATGCGGGGCTGGAACTCACACTGTGACGACATGACAGGAGCCAACGTTGGACGCTTAACTGACTGAGCCACCCAGGCGCCCAAGAGAAGTTGCTCTGAATGCGAGGGTAGTGTTACTCCGGTGTGTGAACTGAGTGTGTGACACTGGTGGCTGAGAATCATTTTATTATTGCAGTAATGCATTTTAAAGTTACGTGCTTTAACGTAATTTAATTGTAGCTTCTGTACTTTTCCCTTTGTTAGTAGCACAGAGGGGGTCATTCACTTGCCTGTGTTGAAAAACTCATAATTCCAGAGCCTTTTAATTTCCCTGGACACACCCCCAGATAGAGTGGCATTTGCACCCGAACTGTATCTCGTTAGCAAGTGGCTTTGGTCTTGCCTTCAGCATGCTCTGAGGAACTGCCTTCTTGGGTTTACTTCCTGAACGAACGACAGAAGACGTCACCCCTGGGCGTGCGTTGTCTCGGAGTTCACGCGGCTCTCCTCCGTCTCTCCCAGGGCGTCGAGTACAAAGTCGGGAAGTTCCCCTTTGCTGCCAACAGCCGGGCCAAGACTAATGCGGACGCGGACGGCCTGGTGAAGATCCTGGGGCAGAAGTCCACGGACCGGGTCCTGGGGGCACACATCCTGGGGCCGGTGAGCGCTGAGCCCCCAGCCCCCCGTTGTGGTTTCCAGAAAGCGTGGCTGCGCAGATGAACGTAAAGCCACCTGCTCTGTACATCCCGGGCTTTCTGTGTACCAGCAGACCGTGCTGTGGTTTCCGACAAGGCTCTGGCCGCACCCACGGTCGTGCCCGTCACGGCGTCTGCCTTCTGTCCCACATTCCGGTCGTCCCTGGAGAGCCCACACTAGGGCCTGGGCCTGCCTCGCACCCTCCGGGGGCCCTTTCCACTTCGGGCTGTTACATCCAAGGCCCCATTAACCCTGGTCCTGGTCCTGTCTGCCTTTGACCTCACGTTTTCTCACTTTTGTCTTTTGCTCATTGATTCCCAGTTTCGTGGGCTTTCTCTCCGGTTGTTAACAGGCGAGTGTTGCCGGGTAGAGCCCACTGCCCGGAGTGCTGGGCCTCCAGCGCTTCGTGTGAGCGGCTCCCCCAAGGCCTCAGCTCACATGGCGCCTCGGAGAGCAGCCTTTCCTCCCGCCGCATCTGCAGTGCGGCCTCCCTGGGGTGTCTGGTGTAGACACTCGAGTGCCTACTCAGTAATACGTTCTCTGGAGGCGTTCAGTGACTCATTTTCCCAGTTCTGGGAGGTGGGAGTCACTGTTCCCATTTCTGAAGTGAGTACACTGGAACGAAGCACACGTCATGAGGGCCTGAGGTAGTCAGTGGTGGGATTTGAACCCGGGCCAGCTGGCTCCCGAGCCCAAGCCCTTACCTTCTGTGCCCCCTCTCTGTGAAACTTTTCCTGACTAGAGGCAGTTGTTTAACTGCTCTGACAGCAGATCTTGTTTGCCATGGGAAGACAATGACTTCTTCATTTATTATTTTGCAGGGTGCTGGTGAGATGATTAACGAGGCTGCCCTTGCCCTGGAGTACGGAGCGTCCTGTGAAGATATAGCTCGAGTCTGCCACGCGCACCCGGTAATTACCAACAGCAGAGTCCATGGCTACCTCCATTTTTGTTGCACATGCACATATTTGCTTTGTAATTTTAAATTTCTTCCCTTGCAGACCTTATCAGAAGCATTTAGAGAAGCAAACCTGGCTGCATCGTTTGGCAAATCAATCAACTTTTAAAGTAGAAGATTCTATTTTTCTGAAATCACCTGGGAGCTTTTGTAGAGGTCACATTTCTGAACAGGAAATGCTCACGGCTCCAAGAATTTCTAGGACTGAATTATGAAACTTTTGAAAGGTGTTCATAGGTTTGGATGGAATAATCTCATCTATTTTAAATTTAATATTTTGTTTCAGCGCATTAATATTGCCAGAAAAAGCTACTTCTAGTAGCTTCCTGGAACATTTTATTCAACCCATATTTTCATGCTGTTTCTCAAAGATTCACCTTCACTAAATTTAGGTTATGTAGCTTTTATCTCTGCTGTGGTAAAATTGGATTTACTTACACGGATGGAGGTGTTGGGTATGTGAACCAGCTGTGTTTGAAGCAAGGTAATCAAGTTATTTTAAACTTGGTTTTCGTATGGGAAACCATCATTAGAATAAGATTGAAATATGTATAAACCAAACTGATGTAAATACATGGTCTCTCACTTGTTTTATTTAATCCCCAAATTCTTACAGTTTAGAGGTAGAATGTATGTTTAAATTTTTAAGGACCCGTTGAGGTCTGTAGTTAGACAGTTATCCACATTAAGGGCGTACATCTGTGAAATCCAGATATTAAAGGAGGACTCAAATGTGTTACAGCAGGGAATGAAAATAACAGAAATAAACAGTCTTAAATGCTCGCTTAGTGGTCGTTTTGAATGGATATCAAGATGGTCGTAGTTCTAGGGCTGCCTCTCGTGTCTGTGCTTATTTGTCTTTATTATTCCTTTTAGAGGCCTGGACCTCGGTCTGTCACACTGGGGGACCCTGTAAGGTCATCTGTGTGAGTGCAGCTCTGTGTGGAACATACCCTGCTGGAGACACAGCCTCCGGAAACCCTCTGCTGCCTGCTGTGGGTCTCCGTGGGTCCTTGGCTGGGTACAGGACTCTTTCAGGGGTGCTGTAAGATCGTATTGTTGACTTAAGTTTAAAATGGCCTTTCCTTGGGGCGCCTGGCTTTGTCGGTAAGGGCATGAAGTTCTCCCCCTCGTGGTTGTGAGTTCGAGCCCCAAACTGGTGTAGAGGTTACTTAAAATCAAAGACTTTTTTCTTCAAGTGGCCACTTCTCAAAATAGTTAAATACTAAATGGGCTTTTGCATATTTTAACTAAATTTAAGAATCATTGAGTACTTCTCAAATTTAGGATAGTTTCATTTCTGGAATTTGCAAACTAGATACTGGATTGCAATTTAAAGATCACAGTCCAGGACAATTCAGAGAATGTAATTTAGCAGCAGAAAGCTGAGTGGGGTAAGACACCGTCAGTACCTTATCCCTGCAAGCTCCGTAGTTTCGGGTTTTGCGTCCCACACGTCATGGGCCACGTCTCCCCTTTCCTTCCTGTGGCCAGTAGTCGTAGACCGTGGCGGGGCCAGCACGAGCGCTAGCTGCCTCCGAAAGCTCGTGTGCGGTTGCAGGAGGCAGTTCACTTGGCTGAACTCCCGACTCCAGGTGTGCGGCCCCTGCTGGCCGGCAGCTGTTCGGCTTCTGGGCTGCACGCATGTGGGCCAGAGGCCGGGCGTGGTGTGTGTGCCCCTGGGGGCCTCCCCACCGCGCCGCGCTCTGCTGGGCTTGTTCCCTCATCTCTGCCGGTGTCATTGCTCCAAACTCAGTCTTCCTGATTCCTGGACAGGAAGACTTGGCTTCTGCCCAAGTTGCCACTTCCTGGGACCCACCAAGTGAAAGGCCATTAAAGATGGGAATCTCACCCAGTGCTGTTCTTTGCCTGCTTCTGGTTGTTTTCCAGGACCTTTACTTTTAAAAATATGCATATATTTTGTTCAGAGTTTGCATTTGATATGAGGAGGGTTGGCCTGGTAGGTGCTACAATAACCTGTGTCTTTTAAAATCTGAAATCCCACTATTATGTGAAGTGCTAGTTTATTTAAACTTCAAAACGTCCCCTTCTCTAGGGAAAAAAGTTTCTAATTAGGGAGTAGTGAAATGTAATGTAACACGAAGTCCTAGCTGTAGAAACACAAAATGGTTGTTACATATGTCTAATGTCTAGGTGGGAATGAAGTTGTGGGTACAAAATGAATTTTAAATATTCACTATTTACTAAGTTCTCGATACTTTCTTGGCTTGTGAAGGGTGGGACTCCGTTGTCCAGTTCATTGAGCTGATTAAAATGAGTGATTTCAAGGTGAGCTCTTTAGGTTTTAGGTGAAAAGGAATGAATAGTAAAGAGTTCTCTTTTAAGTAAAATACTTTAAAAAATTAATTAAGGAAAGAAAACAGTTGCTCTAGTAGATGGTGAGGTAAAACCACCTTGCTAGGTAGGTAGCTCTCCCCAAAAGTGACATCATTGCCCTGAGGGAGGAAGTTGTCTTCTTGTTTGAATTACGTTTGTTTACATAACTTCTGTTCAGGCCTCGCTTCAAACGCAGCTGTGTTGTGTGGGGGGCTGGGAGTAGCCGTGAGAACGTGTGAGAAAACCACTCCGGGCCTGGCCTGTCACCCAGACGGCTCGGCTGCTCTGGCACCCCAGCGATTGTCTTCGTCCCGTGGAGTGGCCCTTCCGGGACCGTGGTGGCCTCACCCGCACACTGCAGCACAGAATCTTGAGTTTGTGAAATCTAATAAAGAGCGACAGAACGGTGAGCAAGTCCAGCGTCATTTTGTTCTGTGCCCTGCAGTGCGGGGAGGGACAGTGTGCGTATCCGGCTCCGTACAATGTCAGCCTTCCCCTCACCCCCTAGAATAGGGCCAGGATCGTTAACACTTAAAAGCCACAATTTACCCTCATTTTCTAAAAATTGCTTTGTGTTCTCTTTCCCAGACCAAGGAGAATTTAGAGGAGTTTTGGAGATTGGATTTACTAAGCGGCCGTTGAAATGGTGAGGGTGGCTCAGGCTGTAGCCTTTCTCCTTCCCTCTACTTGGGAGTCCCTCGGGGAGGTGATTTTGAGGGTCGGTTGGTGGAGGATGTATTACAGCCTGTTGACAGACACAACAGAAATCGGGGGCCCAGAGAGGCTGGCGGCTGGCTTATAAACCCATCTGCACACTGAAAGTATTCCTGGGTCTTAGGGATTCATGAACTTTTACTGAAGTAAAAGTAACACTGTAAGAATTATGCCAGATATAGATTTATATAAAAGCACTGTACTTTATTTAAACTCCATACAAAATGTGATTAAAAACATTAAATAGGTAATGAGTTTTAATTTTGAAGATCATGAAGTCAGTTTTTAAGATGTAGCTATTTTACTTGGGTCACCTGGCAGCCTTTTGTTACAAGCAGGTGCTGTAAACAGCAACTTTCTGGCTAATATCGTGGAGGAGCGAGCGCACTTCGCCTTCCAGTCTTCCTAATTCTTGAGCTTTATCTTCTAAATATTTTTGATTGTCCTCATATTTTCTTTCTAAATCTGTGGGAGATAAAAAGAAAAAGGTCAGAGCAGTTTATCGTAGGAGGACCTCAATCTAAATAAAACTCGTCGTTTTTGCCCGGAAGGCCCAAGATGGAGTGAACAGATTTCCACCTTTTAAAAACACACCGAAGCACGCCTCGGAGGCCAGCCCGGTCCTACCTTTCAGGAGCTGCAGCTTGCTGTGGGCTTGCGCCAGAAGCGTTCTCGCTTCCTGCTGCAGCAGTTCAGCTTTCCTTCTGGCATCAGCGGACTCTCCGGTTTTTTGGGCAATTAATCTCTCTACTTTTTTATACTTTTCATCAACTTCCCCGTCCAGAGCCTGTAATTCCATCGAGACACAAAGAGGTGGTAAATGTGACGTCTGACACGAGGGCCGTAGTGTAGTGGCGGCAGGCTCGGAGCGGTGCTCCGGCGTGAGCTGATTCTTGTAAACATATTGACAGTATGACTGTGACACAGGGACATTAAATAGAACACCGACATGAGTTTTTGGGTATGTCGGAGGACAGTTACATCCAGTCAGAGAAGTAAGTGCTGAGATCTAGTCATTTACATCCAAAGAGCCCACTGGGAGAGGGGAGGGTGTGCGGGGAGGGGGAGGGGCGCGAAATGGGTGCGGGTCCGAGAAGGCGGCAGCACTGCTGCTTTTGAGGAACAAGGTTCAAACTGCAGCCTTTGCTGGAGGATCGTTTCAGAGCGCTGTCCTTCGTGTAAGCCAGTGCTGTATTTTTGCTGAAATGCTCTGTACAAAGATTGCTTGGGAGATTTATGCTCCCAGAACTCACTGCAGGAAAGTACAAACCACGACACACAAAAATGGACGTGGCCAAGCACTTTTTCTCGCTGTTTCGTTTCTTCCCCGACCAGATGTGAGGGAAGTCACCCTTCTGTAAGGCCTGAGAGCCGCCTTAACTTCAAGGTGAGATCTCGAATGAGTAAGAATAGGGAGTCATAAGCTGAAATTAACAGTTTATAAACATCTGCCCACTGAACATGTTTCAATAAGAATTTGGCTTCTACTGAAAAACGGGACTCCTAGGAGATTTCCTCTGCACAATACAGTCCCGTCCAGCGAGAAGCAAGGGGTGAGGGGCGGTTCCCCGCTGGCTGTTCTGAACCCCTGAAGCTTTTTCTACCCTGCTTTCCAAGATTCCTCCACAGGCCAGGTAACTACGGGCCGTAAAGTACAAGCGGGTTTTAGGACCTTTGCCCTTGGGACGCCTGCGTGGCTCAGTCGGTCGAGTGTCCGACTCTTGATTTCAGCTCAGGTCACGATCTCACAAGCGTCAAGGAGGTCGGGCCCTGCGCTGACAGCATGAAGCCTGCTTGGGATCCTCTCTGTCTTTAATAAACAAAGATTCCCGCCCTAAGTTAATTTCCTTTTTTTGCCCCCTTATCCAAGTTAGGGTAGAGGGCTTGGGTCCCGCTTACTGGACACTTCCGTATCCACTCCCACCCTTCCCATCTGTCTTTAAAGACTGTTTCCAAACTGGTCCCTAGGGAGGGTTCTGATGACTAGCCCTGTTCGGGCCACAGCCCTGAGTAACCCCAGGGCGGGCAGGGAGGGGGTGTGTGGCTCCTTCCCGAACACAGCTGTGAAGTTACAAAGATTTCCTTACCTTCTTAACGTCGTCGGCACTTTGTTTCACAGTGTACACCACTTTCTCGATATACTCTGCCTCGCCGGAGTTCTGGGCGGTCTTCCGCTTCAGCTCCTCCACGTTCCTCTCAAGCTCGCTGATGCGCTGGGAGGCGTTGCGCAAGTTCTCCTCGGAGGCCGCGGTCTCAGACTCGATCTACAGGTACAAGGTCAGTCACCGTTAGTAAGCGGCAGGGCGCGCTGGGAATGCAGGCCGGGAGGGGGTGAGAAGGCCACGCTGCCGTTTGCTCTAAACCAAAAGGAAAAATTACTACAAGGAAAACAATTTCAGGAGAGCTTATATAAAGTGCCCATCTTTATACTTTTCACAATTCCAATGATCTAGGCTGAAATTAATGTAAAATTCTTCACTGAACCGCCCCCAGACAGCTCGATGTGTTGAGAAAGCATGTTAAGGACACCTGCAAACTTTGGCAAAACAATGTTCACAACTCAGCCAATGTGAGAAAAAGGATTTCCACATAAATTCCAAATCACTGTGGGTGGGAAAATGAGAACGCCCAAGTCACCTTTAGTTTTTCATGTCACCCTACATAGTAAACTCTAAGGGACGCCTGGGTGGCTCAGTCGGTTAAGTATCCGACTTGGCTCACATCATGATCTCACAATTCATGAGTTCAAGGCCCTCACTGGGCTCTCTGCTACCTCCATCTCCCTCTCTCTACCCCCCCCCCCCCCCNCCCCCCCCCCCCCCCCCCCCCCCCCCCCCACTGCTCGCACACATGTGCTCGCTCGCTCTCACAAAAGAAACATTAAAAAACTATTAAACTCTAGTGGAGGTTATGGGTCTTCAGAAACTACCTGGAAAATTGAGTATTTTCAGCTAAGGCAGACCAGGAATGTTCCTGAAAACCGAGAAGTTACTATAGGACCGAGAGGCCATGTAGTTCAGCGAAGCGACAGCTGGGACCTGGAAAGACTCAAAGTCATTTAGGAAAATCTGTTTGGGTAACTGGTGAGGATCCATGTGTGATCTCTTTTCAAGGAATAATCCACGAACATGGACTTTTAACATCCATCCCAAGCAAGCAGTCTGACCCATGACAGAAGACGGGGTTTCACGGAGCAGTGTTTGCTTAGAAATGACCTTCAAGGATGGGTCTATGCCCTAGAATTAGGCCTGATTAACAGCATTGTAATTAAGGAGTCATTGTAGACATAAGGTAAAATCCGTAGGTATTTCATGCTAAGTAACTCTACCTAAAAGCTCACCTAAGTATTAACACAGAAAAATATTCTTAGTTACAGTTTTTAGAAGATAAGCTTTAGTTTTAAAGGAATGATTAGTTTTTGACAAGCTTTCATTAATAGCATAGTTTAAGAATAAGAAAGAAAAAGAAACTCTAAAGTGCTTCCTGTCCCCCAGGATCCCTGAAAAACAAACCCACCATTTTTCCACTTACATCATCAAGCCAAATATCCCACCTAGAATTTGATCAAATCCTGTATTTCCCATTTTGCTTTTCTAAACTTAATAAACAGCACAGTGAGAAATTTGAGAAACCCTAGAGATAGAAAAGAATCATCAAAGGGTTAGAACATAGTCTGGTGGGAAAATGTCATTTTTCTTGAACAAGTAGCCTGAAGAAAGGGCCTTCTGAATACTCCAGATTAAGAAGGGTAAGTGGCCAAGGGACCGTCAAGTCTCACTGTACTGAGGGCAGCAGAGCAGGGGCGCAGGTTTCCATCAACCAGTAGTAGGAAAAGCAGGTCGAACAGCCGCCTCCCAGGCTTTAAACGCTGGGGAACGTCGGCTCAAGAAGGGCTGACTAATAGCATCCGCTTTCAAAGTATAGTCTGAAAAGATGGGTAAGGATCACGTGAGCCCACTTTTTTCCACGTCCATTAAAAAGTTTTTTTTAATGTTTAATTAGAGAGAGTATAAGTAGGGGAGGGGCAGAAAGAGAGGGTGCCACAGAATCCAAGGCGGGCTCCGAGCTGTCAGCACAGAGCCCGACGTGGGGCTCAAACTCACGAGAAGGGAGATCATGACCTGAGCCGAAGTCAGATGCTCAACCGACTGAGCCACCCAGACGTCCCTCATCCATTTTTATAAAACAAATGGACTTTTAAGTGTTGGATGGAAAGATTTGTTTGTATTAACAGATTTTTGAAAAATGACAGGATTTTTAGAATAAAGCCCAAATCCATGTGAAAAACTCTATTCTTAGTGTGTGCATTTAATACCTGGTAGTCTCTAAGAGAATTCTCCTTATTAAAAAACATTCCAAGTTTTTGGGGTGTCTGTCTCGCTCAGTCAGTGGAGCACGTGACCCTTGATCTCAGGATCGTAAGTTTGAGCCCCAAGTTGGGCGTAGAGTTTTCTTTAAAAACTGTTAAGTTTTTCATGCATTCTTAACAAAACATATCATTCAGCTGTAAGATCTCTCACGTCTGTCCAGAATCCGGGACTGGGAACATTCTGACCTCTGATGCTTTCCAGTGGCTTTCAAATCATACAGTAAAATTTTTATGAATGCCCACCTCATAAATTAAAAAAAAATTTTTTTAATGTTTATTTTAGAGACAGTGAGCGAAAGAGAGCGAGCATGAGCCAGGGAGGGGCAGAGAAGGAGGGAGACACAGAGTTCAAAGCAGCCTCCAAGCTCTGAGCTGTCAGCACAGAACCCAAAGATGGACTTGAACTAATGAGCTGTGAGATCATGACCTGAGCCGAAGTCAGATGCTTAACCGATTGAGCCACCAAGGCGCCCCCACCTCATAAATTTTGAGATCCTGGTCTTAACAACTATGTAGGTTACTTTTGGGCTACTTTATAACAGAATGAGTTTTCTAAAACTAAACTTGGAAATTAATACTGTCCCTTCATGCTACTAAACAGAGTCCTTGAACAGGAGATAAAAACATACCCTGTCTTTCTTAGGCTTTTCATAGGGGTCAAAGGGGGCCTTAATGTTCCAGGGTCTTCAGGGTCTTTTTTTTTTTTCCCCTCTGAAAACACGTTTAGCATCTGTGCTGAGGGAGTAGTTCAAATTTGCTTAAATTAGAGGAATCCTTTAATGTTCAATTGTAAGAATTTTCATGTAACTACCAAATGCACTTTGATAGCGTTTAGGTGGGGTTTTGTCCCACGTCCAGCCCAGACCTTACCGAAGTCAGCAGGTTCTGGGTCCCCTGGATGTCCTCATCTGCTTGTTTAATCGCCTTCTCTGCTGCGATCTGGGCCTTTTCTGCCTCCTCCAGGGCGTCCTTGACCATGTCTGCGGTGACTTTGACATCAGTTGCACTTTTGCTGAGGAAAGGAATGAACGAGACAATCATCCATGGGAAAAAGTACTCTCCGGACATTTAAAAATACCTTTCTTTTCAAGGACAGCCTTCTTGGACTGAAGCAGAGGGACTCCTATGGGGACATAGGAAATTTAGACATTTCACTGGTTGAAGAGAATACATTTTACTCCCTGCTAGATACACACAATAAGCCCCTAGGTGCCACAACGTCTTCACATACCTGGCTCTTTTAGCTTCTTCTAGCAACATCTCCGCTCTGGCAATGTCAGCAGCGCTTTGCTGTAGAATAACCTCTACTTGAGAAAGGCTTTCAACTCGTTCCCGAATATCTTCTGTCAAGTTCTGTAACTGCTCTGGGGTGCTAGGCATTTCCATTTTCAGCACTTCGTTAGCAACGGCTTCAATGCTGTCCAAGTCAGCACTGTCCTCTGTTAAAAGCAAAGATGTCCCCATAAAGAGGTGCAAGTCACAGTGGTTAGCTCACTCCGTCACGTGTGGTCACCCACCAGGTGAAGAGCATTCTGGGGCGACGTCAAGACCGACACGTTTCCTGTTTAAGAATTTATAGTGTAGTTGAGGAGTTACACGTGAAAAAGTAACTACTAGAATTTGCTGTGGGCTGGGAAAGTCAGGGAAGTGTTCGTGGAGGATTAGGAACCAGATCAGGTTTTGAAGGATGACAGGGTTTGAAAGGAGAGAGGACATCTCTGGATGGAGAGACTGTATGGGCGGAGCATGTCACGTGAAAGTCAAACAGAGTGAATGGTTCCCATTACAGAAAAGAGCAGACCCCAGGGTGTAAGTCTGGGACTTGATTCTAAAAGTCAAGGAAAACTTTAGTTGAGTCTGGAAGAACAGCCGGGGACTATTAGAAATGCCGATGTCAGGAGCGCATACTCCTGGTGTAAATGGTCCGCATTCTGGAGATGACCGAAAGGGAGAAAATCCAGTCAGGAGCGAGAACCAGATCGTGTATTATCAAAGAAGCCAAAGGATTTCAAATGGCACATATCAAAGGTGGTCCAAAAAATGCCCAAGAGGTTAGGCGCTAAACAGGTCGCCAACTCCAGATTTTTTCGTTTTAACTATTCAAGAATACAAAAAATGAATCCCCTAAGGATTTGAGCACAGGACTATATGTGACCAAGCGATGGCTTCCACAGGATATTTCGTTAGACACCCACAGGATACCCCTGGCTCCTTTCTTATTCCCCGTTTTCCTGCTACCAGAATACTGATTTTTGCTCAGGCACCTACCTCTAAGGTAAGGTAAACTTAGCAACTCCGAGTTAAATGCGGGTTTGTATGCCAGGTATGGTAATTCCACTCTGTTTGCTCAGGACATTTATGCACCGGCAGGGGATGCATTTCTGGCTCTGAGATTTATGGAGAGCTCACGGCTTCTGGGGAAGATTTCCTTCCTTTAAAAAGCTACGACAGCGGAACAGGTGGGTCCCCTCCATTAGCGAGCACTGAGGCTACGTGAAGTCTGAAACTCTGGCAGCAGCTCGGAACAAGGAGCCGGCCTGAGAACAAACCAGATGTCCTTACCCCTGGCTCCCGGAGCCCCGGACCTTTCCTGCTGCTGAACTTCTTGCTATGTCACATGATACGCATCCGTTTTGATTAAGTCCACTTCACTTGAAAGTTTTGTGCAACTTGAAGCCAAAACCTTCCTTACTGATAACACTTAGATGGCTGACCAGAAACTTAATCTCTAGAACTGTGGTTCGCCTCCTGTCTTTCTCTAGGTGCGACACTGAGGGACAGAGCTAACCGCAAGGACAATATCCTGTAAGCAACAGGGTGACAAAGCTTTGCAGGCAAGGCCAAAAAAAAGCCACTACTCTGAGGATCCAGTGACATTCTATGTAATTCAGAACAGAATCCAAATTCGGTTCTCACACCGTGGATGTGACTTGTTGATTTCCTGCTTGGGTTTCTCATCTGTGTCTGCCCAACATCAGAGAAGATTACTTTACATGTACATTAGTTTAACGTTTCTTCACGCAGCCTTGTTTTGTGTTGCTTTGGGAAATGTTACTTTATTCGCAACCAGAACTTGGTTTTATCTAAAACGCAAGCTTGAATTCTGACCTCTAAAAAACACAGACTCTTAAATAGTTTTTAGGGGCGCCGTGGCTCAGCCAGGTAAGCGCCCGGCTTCAGCTCGGTCATGATCTCCCAGTTTGGTTTGTGGGGTCCAGCCCTGAGCTGGGTTCTCCGTCAGCACGGAGCGTGCCTCGGACTGGATTCTCTGTGCCCCTCCTTTCTCTGCCCAACCCCTGCTCATGCACATGAGCTCGCGCACGCTCGCTCGCTCTCTCAAAAACAAACATTTTTAAAAAATGGCTTCTAGAAGCCTAACATTAAAAAATATAAAACCAGTTTTTACATTCGAAGGTAGGAAGAAATAACTAAGAGCAAAACGAAAACAAGTCCTTACGGGTCAGAAAGTCCCTGATTTGCTTGATCAGGTTCCTCAGGTCCTCGTTGCTTTTGTCCACGTTTTCCTTGGTGGCGCTGGTTTTCTGCAGAACGCCCTGGGCCTGCTGCCTTGCCTCATCCGCCCTCAGCTTCGCTTCAGAGACCTAAACGGGAGGAATGAATACGTCACGCGGGGCACGGCCTCGCTCTTCCTCAAGTCGCCCAGAATCCTACACGCGGGCCAGGAAATGATGCTGAAAACCCGTGCATTTGGGATCCTGGCTTTAGAGACACAGGTGTTTCATTCAGCTGCGGTGTGTCCCCCGCCGGAGCGGAAGCATCCAGCAGAGAGGCTGCCACGCCGTGTTCTTACACGGATCGCGCTAGCGAATCAGCATTGATGTTTAACTCTTCCAGAACATCCGGAGGCCTGTACTGTACTTTTTCTTGGGAGCCAGTACAGATACTTCAGTTAACACTGTCACTGTGGAAAAAGCTATGCTCGGTTCGTTGCTCGGGATGAGATTTTTACAGCGCAGCTCAATGTTTTCCGAAGCCTGGCCCCACGCTAAGTAACACGATTATCTCCGATTACTGTCGGGGGAGAACCCACTCTCGCGACCCATCCGTGAGCAAAGCCTCCCCGTGCGTGTCCCGGACCTCACAGAAACTCGGACTTTTCCGCCGCGAGGGTGACACACCCTGTTCGCCTCTCCCCTCCCGGCCCCCTGCGGCGGGTAACGGCAAGCAAGCCCCGAGGCCCGCTTACCATCTTGGAGAGCTGCTCCACCTCGGCCAGCGCGCTCAGCACGTCGCGGTCGAAGTCCATGGCTTTCTGCCAGGCGCTGTGGGCGACCGTGACCAGGCCGCCGCAGCCGGGCCCCCCGCACTTCTTCTCCCCGTCGTCGGTCCCGCAGCTCGGGCCGCCGCACTCGGTCTCGGAGCAAGAGGCCCCCGGAGGCGTCCCGCAGGTCTGCAACGAGCCAGGGGGCAGGCGCCGGCCTTCAGAGAGGGAGCCTGCGGGCGGCCGGGCGGCCCGGACGGCGTGTGGGGGTGCTCGGCACGGGGCCGGAGGACACAGCGCGCAGGAGGGAGAGACGAGCAGAGCGCCTCGGGGTGAGCCTCTGCTGCCTGCCGGGGAGCCACGAAGCCACAGGGCGTTTCGTCAGTACCCTCTGCCCTGATGAACCAGAAACCTCGCTGCGGGGGGGGGGGCAAACATCCGCTGGATCAAGTTGGAATCTGCCAACATGGGAGCTGAAGAATGCTTCCCCTTGATCCTAGACCGTTGGATTAAAACAAACACGCAGAGGGGCGCCTGGGTGGCTTAGTCGGTTGGGCGTCCGACTTCCGCTCAGGTCATGATCTCGCGGTTCGTGGG